CATTAGCTAAATGGAAACATGGGGCTAATGAAAAAACAGTATTGCAGATTGATATGCTGGACAGGGTAGTTTTTTCTGGGAATTTCTATCATTCATTCTTTGCAATGGATCTTTTAACGTTTTAAACATTTTTGTGTCTGGATTAGGAAGATAATAACATGGCATATCTGTAAAATTTTCCAGGCCATCACATTATAATTTTATCGGGGGAAAAAGCGTTATCTGAAAGCACCAAACAGTGCTTACTGTCCTTAACTTTGGTGAAGTCACAAAGTCCTGTGAAGAATTTTGGAGTGTAGCAACTGTTGACCCCTAGGTTTGGTTTTATCAAATTTAATACAGTTTTCAAATTTCTAGAAGCTGTGGCTTGTAGCACTAAAATTTTTGGCAATGACTTCATTTTCATGAACAGCCTGAGATTAAGGGCTGGTCTCACAGGATATTTTTTACTGATACTAGCTGTCAGATGGGTACACAGAAGTACATTCAATTTTTCCTGCATGTATTTATGTTTATGCAGTAAAAGGCATTGGAGATGCGAGTACAGTTTTCAAAACAGCAATAGATCTGTTTTAAATAAATGAGGTGTCATTTCCCATTGCTTGTATTATTCTACTCCAGTCACTGAAGAACAACTGAAGTTCTGTCATGATTAGATTCTTCTGCTGATTTTCAATTAGACCCAAGTCTTCCTTGTCGGAGCTGTGAATGAAACATTTGTGAGCACTGCTCTCTTGCACATCAAGTCAAATGTTTGGCCAGTTATTCTCTCCCCATGACTGTCAGATTTTCTGTCTTGAATATTTTTTTTTAACTCTGTTAATGGGGAAAAATGTCCAAGGAAGAATTGGTAATTATGAAGACAGACAAATGCAAGAAATTTATTTTGAGTAGTTTTCCATCAAGATGACTTTTCATCATGGCCATTAACCATTTGAGTCTTTCACAAGTTGATAAATTTTGATTATGGTATTCCTGGGTAAATTATTTTCCATGTCAGAGATTATCTCATGAGGGATGTAAGAACAGAGAACTCCACAGGAGGCATCACATAGATGTTTTTTTTCTGTTGTGGTTTCCAAAATGCTGCTGCACATATTGGAGGTCTGAATGCTTGTATTGACTTGGATCTTGTGTCACGTTACTGAACTACATTATATGGTAACTAGTGGGTATGCTGTAAGAACA